TGCCTCCTTTGTAGGTCAATAGTCATGACAATATTTAACAAACCTACAGATAATGGTTTTCCTTTTGTGCACTTTGAAGATTGTTCTATATTGTAGTATTTAAACTATTTTATAATGTAGTATTTAAATATTATTTCAACAGTATTTCATAATATTTGTCGCAATTAATGCCATCATTTTCTGGTTAATTGATTTTATCTTAAATAGTCTTTATACAACCATTATCAGTGTTGATCATTAAGATCTCCTTCCTGACAACATTTTTGTTTTATGTATGTTTTCGATAATATTATGGGTAGCAAAGACAGAAAGTTTATGGTTTTCCAAAGATATGCCAAATTACTAATAGAGCCTTTAAATATCTAGTTGTTATCTCATATCAATATCTTAGTTTATAGAGAATTGTGTTCATCAACATAGAATTAGATAGAATGTTACAACATGGAAACAGACCATTCAGCCCAACAGCTCTATGCTGGTATTGTTACTCCGCATGAGTCTCCCACCCATCCTAATCGCTTCTCCATGTCCCCTTTCATACCCCTCTATTCCCTTCTTCCTAATCCATGCATTGTTTCCTCTTAGGTAAATTGGTGCTTTCTGCTTCAACCACATCTTCTGTCAGTGAGTTCCACATTCACACCATCCTCTATGTATGAAGTTCCTCCTAAACTCCCTTTAAATCAGCTACTGACTATCTTATTTTTATGTCCCCTCATTTTGGACTCACTGAGAAGTGGAAACAACCTATAAATGCCCACCTTAGAAAATTATTTAGGAATGTTCAACTTGTATGCATACCAAACCAAGAAAAGAAGACTCCAGGTTAAGTGTATTTTTAATGAGTGTTTATTTAAGAAGAGACACTTTTACCTGTAGAGGTAAAAGTGATTTGACCATATTTGCTGGAACATTGGTCTTACCTCCGGCACCCCTGAAGCTTTCCGTTCAAACCCACCCTAGGAGATGGAAGTTAAAGTGTTTTGTCACTGAGAACACAATATTTGATAACATCAGTTGTGGTAGATTGCAAAGGAAGAGAATTGATGTGCATTTTCAACTTCTGAGTTCAGGTGTATATTCAAGTTAAAGATATGCATGTCATTGTTAGTTTATGCATCCTTTCTGTCACTGAGGACAAAATAGAGATTCCATTCTTTAGTTATCTTACCTCAGAGAGAACATAAATGAAATGTGTCAGCTTCTATTACCCACATAAAAAACATTCATTCTGTTTGGGGAGGCCACAAACTGGAACTGAAAGAAAAAAGTTTTTTTCTAAATTAATGTTTTAAGCAAAGAAATTGTCTATACACATTATTGAAAGGTATATTATATCTATTTGAATGGTATTTAAAATAATTCACCTACAAATACACAGTCACTACACCTTACAGTAAATCCAGAGAAGCGCTTTGAGACCGTATGCTAAGACACTATATCAACATAAAGTTTTTTCATTATTATAAATACATTTCGGTTAGATCAATAATAGTGCTTCCATCTTATTGCATTAAAATGCACTTTCAAAGATTATGAAACTCATTCAGGGTTACATTTGCTCCAATTCACATCATGAGCCTGCACAGCTAATTATTTAGCATCATAAATTAATTTTCACTTCTAGTACATCACGAAAAGATAATTGAGAAAAAAACTTAACAAGGCCATTTCAACCCTAAAGCTATTTCAATCGAATGGTTTGATATTGCAAGCACCTCCCTGTCCAATGGTATTGTTCAGGTCCCTGTCCCTTAAAAGTGCATTAATCACAATCTGCACCAAGAATTTTACTTATATATTCCTCTAGCTCTCCTTCAGTAGAAATCTGTCAAACTCAACTTTGAAAGAATTTCCATTACTAACAATATATTTTTCAAAGGAGAATTACCTTAAATGATTATTATGCTACAGTTCCAGCGTCAATGTATGTCTTCATTGAAATAGCACTCCGAAATGCAGTGTAGAGTCCCTGATGTAAATTTGAAGCACTTCCAAAAAGGTGGATTCCAAATAGTACTTTATCATTAGTAATAATAATAATCCTTGCATTTGATATAGTGTCTTATCACGTCTTTGAGACATCTCAAAGCGCTTCACAGAATATACTGTAAAGTGAACTGACTATATTTTATGGGCGAAACACAGCAGCCAATTGCGCACAGCAATGTCCATAGTCTTGGATTGATTGACCATATTATTATTATTTAAACGTTTATTTTTCAAGGGATTTTTATCCCTGGAAAAGCGATCTGCCAATCGACTAACAACCGGGTTCCTACTTACTGCTAGGTAAACGTTGGCGGGGCGTAAGGAAACTTGCCCAATGTTTCGCCCCGCCCAAGCATCAAACCCAGGTCCTCTCGCTTGCGAGTCAAGTGTTCTAACCATTAAGCTACAGGACTCCAATGTAGGAAATAGCCTACCTGCTGTGCTTTTACTGTTTTAATCTCAAAAGATATGTACAACAGCAGCAAAATTGCGTGTATAGTGCCTTTCATGTCGGAAGGATGTCCCAAGGAGCTGGACAATCAATGTTTCGGACCTGAGCTGGAGATCGGGGAGGGTGGAGGGCAGGGGGAAAGGAGGGTAACAGAAGGCACGATTGAATAGGAGGGTCTTGAAATGGGTTTTGAAGGAGGCAAGGGATGGGGCGAGGTGGAGGGACTGTGGGATGGAGTTCCAGAGAGTGAGGGCAGAGTGGTAGAAGGCACGCCTGCCAATGGTGGGGCGGGTGAGGCAAGGGATGTGAAGTTGGCCGGAGCCCGGAGGGAGCGGGCAGATTAGTAGGGGGTTAGAAGGTCGGGGGGAGCAAGGCCATGGAGGGCTTTGAAAGTGAGAACCAGGATTTTGAACTGTGTGATGGGAAGCCATTGGAGTCAGGCGTGGATGTGAGTGAGAGGGCTGGTGCGGGAGAGGACATGGGCTGCGGAGTTCTGGAAGACCTGCAGCCTTTGGAGGGAGGAGTTGGGGAGACTGACAAGCAGGGAGTTTGGGTAGTCAAGCCTGGATGTTATGAATGCCTGTATGAGGATCTCAGCAGCCTGCGGTGTGAAGTGGAGACGGTGTGAGAACCTTTAAGGACAGAGCCATGAAGGTTGAGGTGAGAAGAGAGGCAGTGGAGGAGGGTAAGAGTGGTCAACGGAATCAAAGGCAGCAGAGCGATCAAGAAGGATGAGGAGGCAGAGGGAGCCCTGGTTGCAGATGGACAAAATGTCATTTGTCACTTTGACCAGAGCTGTTTCTGTGCAGTTGGCAGCATGGAAGCCGATTGGAGGGGTTCGTGAAAGGAGTGGCGGGAGACGAAGGAGGGTAGCGGGGAAGCAATGACTTGTTCCAGGACCTTGGAAAGGAAAGGGAGGTTGGAGACGGGGTGGTAGTTTGAGAGCAGGGATGGGTCCAGGGAGGGTTTTTAAAGGATAGAAGTGATGACAGATGTTTTTAGAAGGTTGGGAATGCTGCCAGTGGACACGGAGAGGTTTATGATGTCTGTGAGTAGGGGGGCAAAGAGGTGGAGCTGGGAGGTAGGGAGAAGGGGGAGACAGATTTGAAGGTGTGGAGGGAGGAATGTGTAGGGGCCAGGGTGTGAGAGGGAAATGGGAAGGGGGTAGTGGTCGGAAGGGCAGCTGAGTGGATCCCCTCGACTTTGGTTTCGAGGAAGTCCAGTATCTCCTCGCAGTTGGTGTTGGAGGAGAGGATGGGTGAGGCGTGAGAGGGTGGTTGGAGGAGCCAGTTGGTGATGGAGAAGAGGAGCCTGGGGTTGTCCTCGACCTCCAAGATTGTCTTGGAGTAGAAGGACGATTTAGCGAGGCGAGGGCGGAGCAGTAAGATTTGGTAAGGTCTAGCCAGATCTGCTGATGGACTGTTAAGTTGGATTTGAGCCAGGTGCGTTCCTCAGCACACACCTGAGCCTTAAGGAGCAGAAGTGGCTGGTGTACCAGGGTGACTTCTATGAGTAGGAGATGGATCGGGAAGTGAGGGGATCAAGGGCATTGAGAGTGGTGGAGAGGGAGTTGTGGAGGAGAGTGACTGAGGAGGATAGGTCATTGCGGGAGGAAGCCCAGAGGGGGAGGAGTTCAGATGACTCCAAGGCAACGGAGATGGAGGTGGGGGAGATTTTATTTCTAGGGGTGGTAGCAGATGGAGGTGGTTTGGGTGGCGGTGGGGAGCGGGATTGCGGAGTTAAGGGAGATGAAGTAATGGTCGGAGATGGGCATGTCCATGTTGTGCCATGAAGTCCAACCTACAGTATATTTGTTTCAAAGATATTGCAGACACTAGGAAACCATCTGGATTCTCTAGCGGTATCTTCAGTTAAAAAGAGGCAGTGGAATGTCACAAATTATGATTTTGGCTGCAATGTTTGACGCATGTGAAAATATGTAAGCATTATTTTCACTCCCCAATATCTTGTAAGAAGCCATTATAATGGAGAACAACCTGGAAAGATTCCCTTCTGCATCTAAGCATTCTCATTGAATCTAGTATGAAACTGGTATTAGTATAAGTCAACATATTATGACCCGATTTATATTTGGAGCAGAGGAATAGGAGTAGGCCATTCAGCCCCACAAGCCTGTCGCGCCATTCTATTAGATCATGGCTGATCTGTACCTCAACTCCAATTACCTGTCCTTGCCCCATATCCCTTGATATCTTTACCTAACATAGGAACATGATCAGCGATAATATCAGCAGTAAAACTGGGTTCAAATCATCTTGTATTATCACATGGATTAAGATCACAGTAAACATTCATAGTAGTGCCAGGAAACGCTGTTCAGAATCCAGTCATCTTCCGTTTTTTTACATCTTAACAAATTAAAGCACTTTTAATAATCCTCCGTATGCTTTCTAATGTACACTGAAGACTTTTGCTCAGCAGCATTACATTTAGAATATACCCTTAATCATTTTATTTAAGTTGTGAGAGATCTGAAAGGTTCTCTAGTTTTTATTATTAATCCTAAATTACGTGTGTTTTCACCCTGTTTTCACAGTGCATTTTTCACAGACGAAGGCTCAGTCTTACAGGAGAAAGGCAGTTTGGTTGAACTGACTGAGCAGAAAATAAGCATGATGGTCCTGGATATCTGCCACAAGCCAGGTGGCAGTGAGTACCTGAGGCAAATTTATCACATCATCCAACTCAATGAGGTAGGGAAACGGTCTTTTTACCAAGCAATTAGGTGTGTATTGGCCTGAGGCAGCATCTGCTATCAGCTAAGGGTTAGTCAAGGAGGCACAAATATTTCTTTTGAGTAGTAAATCCTAATAAAACATGGTATTAAATCAATCACAAACAGCACTGTTACTTTCTTTCACAGGTTTGTTTAAAATGAAATATCCTTGTCACATATAACTGTATTTTTACCTATCTGGATACAGTTTTTCCAGTTTCATTTTATTTATTTCAGTCAGTGAAACTTTATCTGAATTGAATAATTTTGCTATACATTGCACTAATACCGGCTGTAGATTTATGATCAAATCAACTGAGCAACAAAAACATTTTGTAATATTTTTCAAAAGCATCAATTTGTATGTTGTCATTTGTAAGTAAAATAAGAGAATTCATATCTGTGTTCCTCTTTTAAATATACTTTTAATATATCTGCTATTAAAATAATCTTAAAGAACTTGGCCTTAAAATATGGGATTTCATTAAAACATCACATTAAATGAAATCACAATTGCATAGCATTTCAGTTGTCAGTTTGTTAACTTGACCTCATGATTCACTTTAGAGAATTCTCTGATCATATGTTGTGAATTTGTAAGTGGCAGTGGGATTCAAGCGGGATGCACAAATCACATATTTTGGTGGTATAAAATAGGAAACTATTTTGTTCTCTGTCGCCCATTTATAAAGGCTCAATCTTCTGTGAAACAAGAGTTAAATGAAGGAGAAACTGAATATTCCAATAGACATTCACTGTAATATTCTAATATACCATGACTTCTGCTGTACATTTGCTTTATTTACATTGTTGGTTCATGGCATAACAGACAATGTAAACAACCTGACAGTAATAGAATAAAGTTTGCCATCAGAAGCGAAGGGAGACATGTTTGCTTGCCTCTGATAAAACCGACTGTCTGAATTCACCTGTACAGGACATATACATTTTATCAGGAAACATTAAACTGCAATACCACCTCCCAACCCGGCCGTTCCCTTTGCCCAGCAAACAAAGGCTTGCTTCATATCCCTGCACTCAATATGCTCCACAATTGCCATTTTGCCCCCTGGAACTTGATTCCTGGAGTCTCTCCAACTCGCTCCCTCCCTCCGCTCTTTCAAGGTGCATCAAGACCTAATTTTCTGACTGCACTTTTGGTCATCTTTTCCCCTCCCCTATCCCACCTCCCTTGGCTCCCATCCCCAGCTTATCTGCCCAGCCGGCAGTGTCGAGAACTTTGAGACATCCTTTTGACGTGAAAAAGGCCGCTGTGTGAATGTTGTTATGTTTCTGGAAAGAAAACACCAAAATATTGCTTATATGGCACTCGGACTTTTTTCAAATAGGGCATCCGGCCTGCAGCAACAAAAGGGTTGGATCATCCTGAAATAAACCATTGTTTTACATATTTGTATTGCTGTGACAGGGGGATAAACATTGTCACTACTTTTTATGGTTATTGGCTCTCAACCTATGGTGCAAAGGACTGTATTTTTTTTGGTGCATGTGTGACTTAAGGATGCCACAGTGAATCAGGCTTCTTTGGAGTTCCAGCCCTATGTGATAATTGGGCACCAGAATGAAATGGGTGTTAGTGAGAAGTCTGATGTCAAAATAAACCATTCTTTTTATTGTTAAAACTTGTGCAAATTTTGTTTTTCGGGTGTGACTCACATCCTCTTATAATTGCATTATTCTTTCACTAACATTACAGTATTTTCCTTCACCTATAGGACTTGTTGGAAAAACAGCTCTCTTCTCAGAATTCTTTGGATGACAATGGGACCTCTCTGAAGTCTTTGGAATTGACTTTGCTGGATTTACCACAACCTATGATTTTTAACCCCTTGCAGGTGTTTAACCATATTGGTTGCAAACATTTTGATCAGGCAAGTATTGTGTTACATCTTGTCATTTTTAGCAGTTCCTCAAATATTTTATTTGTTAAAAAATTGAACCTTATTTCTAAGTCTCTTGTTTCACATCAGGCTGAACTTACATCTCTGCTACCAAGAGAAGCGGGATTGTCTATTCTCAAACCTTTCCTAGACCCCTATTAGTTAGCTGCTTGGATTAAGTATCAAGCACTGCCTCATCAGCACAACCTTGTCCAATTTTCTCTTAGTTGTGAAGAGATTCTAGAACTATCCTGCCCCAGGGGCTGAGCAAAATAACTCATAGCTTCCACAGTCTGTGGCAATGCATATTGGTTTCTAATGTGCAGTTAATACAGTAGTTTGAAAATACAGAGCTAAAGCCTATCTAAGTGTTCATGGAAGGAGCAGAGAATTGTGTTTATCTTAGTTAGCTTTATAATAAATAATCCTTGCATTTGATATAGCGCTTTTCACGTCGGGAGGACGTCCCAAAGCGCTTCACAGAACACACTGTAAAGTGAATTGACTGTATATTTGTGGGCGAACGCGGCAGCCAATTGCGCACAGCAATGTCCCACAAACAGTCGTAGATTGAAAATGACCAATTTATTATTGTTTTGTTTTTGGAGGGATTATTATTAGGCTCTGTGTGGAGTAAGGAAACTTGCCCAAGGTTTCGCCCTCTGCCTGGAATTATTATTGAATGAGCTACTACCAGTTCAAGTTGATGGCCCAATGATCTCCCTCTATGCTTCAGTGTCAATGATTTAAATTGGAAATTGACATCAATTTTTCAATTCTGTTTTTGTGTTTATTTTTTGTGTTTATTTCTCATGTAATAAAGATTGTAAGTATTTAGCACATCACTTGTCTTATGGCTTAGCCTGTCAGCCTGGCTCAGTGGTAGCACTCTCGCCTCTAAGTCAGAAGGTGTGGGTTCAAGCCCCACGTCAGGACTTGGAATCACATAGTTTAAGATGACACTTCAATGCAATGCTGGAGTTGTGTGGCATTGTTGGAGGTGCCATACTTTGGATAAGATATTAAACCAAGGTACCATCTGTCTGTTCAGGTGGATGTTAAAGATCCCAAAAGGGATCAAAAAGGGAAAGGAGTTTCTCCTGGTGCCCTGCCTAACAATCCCCCAAATAAAATTAGTCATTCACTCCATGGCTTTTTGTGGGACATTGCTGTGTGCAAAACTGTCTGTAAAATACATAGTTAATCCACTTTACAGTAAGAATTATTATAAATAAATATAGAAGTCACTGGGAACACTCAGCAAGTCAGGCAGCATTTAGAGATAGAGGAAAGTGAGTTCACGTTTCAGGTTGATGACCTTTCATCAGAATTATTATTATTTTATTTTACTATTATTTGTTTTTACATTTCAACTATTCTGCAATTTTCATGTTTTTGTAATATGTTTTATTTAGTCGAAATTAATTGGTGTTTCTTGCGGACACCTATATATTGTGCAAACAGTAGTCTGCTTCACATTCCCTGCCCGATCTGCCTCATCATCGGTAGACGAGCTTTCAGCCATTCTGACTCTGCTCTCTGAAATTCCATTCCGAAGTACTTCCATGTTGCCACCTCTCTTCCCCCTTTTTAAACTCTGTTTTAAGACCTTTTTTTGACTGCTTTAGGTCACGTTTTCCCCCTCCCCAACATCCTCGGGTTCTTCCTCAAATCCCCCACCCCAATTCAGGTGCATCCAGCCGGTGAAGCACTTTGAGACGTTCTTCCAAAAGGAATGGTTTTACACAAATTTAAATTTTAAATTGTTGTTGCTTGCAGTATTTTGAATGTTGGTGAAACTTATTTTCTCCATTATCCATAGAAATGTTTGCCACTATGCAGCCTCGATCGACCAGAAGTGTGGGTGGGTGGTATGAACTGCAGACATCTTTGTGACAGCCATCAGCTCAGTCCATGCATTGCAGAGGGGCAGATACTTTGCATTAGTTTCATTCTCCCCCAGTCTCCTGCCTACTGGATCATCTTCTGATACTGTGGCATCTTGTGGGCTGGCAGAGAACCAATTAGATTCACTCCCGATGGTGGAGGACAGACAGCTGTGGGAATTAAAGCTATTATTATGTCCTGCCTTGCCTCTATTGGGAAATATTTTTAACAATTTCTAACATAATAAATTTGTGAATTGAAACAAACCCTTACACTTAAAAGTTTTGTTACAAAAATGCCACACAATGCATTCTTATTAGAAATATAGCAATACTGATCTCAAACAGAATAAAAGGCTTATCTTGGAAATGCTCTGATGGAAAACTCTTGAAAATGTAAGCTTAATTAATGCCCATTTTATGGGGGTTTTGTGATCCAATGCTTTCCTTAACGCAAAGCATTCCCAAAGCAGCCAATGAGGAGATACCATTAATGAGAACAGGAGCTGATTATGTAAATTTCTCATGAAAGGATTGTGTGCAGAAAATGACATAACTTGAATAGAAATGCTAAAATAAAGGATTTGTATTGGTGAACAATAGGACCATATCATACATGGACACACTGAGGAAAGTTAAATTTACTAAATTTATCTGGAAAAAAAACTGCAATGACAGAGAAAATGTGAAGATTGATTTAGAATTTGAACTGCAATAGCTATGAAAATAAGAGTTCAGTAATTTACAGTGAACATGTAATAATGGGCGAGCTAATGTGCTGCAAAGATTTTCCATAGTCAAAATTAAGTGCTATAAAAATGTCCATCAGACCTGAACTTAATGATTCAGACTTTTGGAAGACTGAGTGTTTCAACGGAAGCAGAAGGGAACACCTATATATTTAATCTTGATGGCAAACTTGCAACTAATTGGGAGGTAACTTAATTGTTGTCAGGAGGTGACCATATTTAAGGAGTTTGGTAGAGCACAAACACTGTGTGAAAAAGTCATTTGTATCCATTTATAGAGCAATGAAAGGTTATCTAGGTAAAATAGAGAAGTCCTAAGGTAGAGAAGCAGCTCCCAAATATTTAATATACAGCTTCTGTTACTACATTACAGTTTGCTGTTGAGAACATGTAAACAGTATTGGTATTTACAATGGAGACTTCACTTATGCAGAATGTAAGCTAAGTGGGAGCAATTGTCATAAATGTTGACACTGCTGATATGAATTATTTAATCATCAAGATGCATTTACTGTTGTCTTTAGCTCTTGAAAAACTGTTAATGGCAACTATACCAGAATGATTTAGTAACCTCACAGAGCCCAGTGTTCAATGCTCACCCAGATCATGACTTAAAATTTATGTATGCATCATGTAGGGCTGAAAAAGTGACAATACGCCACCGATGAATACAAGGAGCTTATAGCAACTGCAGCAATCTTGGAATTCCTGCATATAAGAACATAAGAATTTGCTAGGCGAAAGAATACCAAGGTCCATCTAGTTTGCCTTCCATCATCCCAGCAGTCGCTTGAGAGGTCGTGTCCCAAATTATATACTGTATCCCGAGATATTATTTTCTAGCAGAAATCTATCTAATTTGTTCTTGAAACAAGCAACTTGTTCTGCTTCCATAGTCTCCCTAGGGAGCCTGTTCCATAAGTTTGCTACTCGCTCACTGAAGTAGTGTTTCCATAGATTTGTTCTGAATTTACCTTCCTTCAATCACAGGCCATGTTCTCTGGTTCTACTGTTCAGTATATCTGTTGGTTGCTTGTTGATACAGAATCTAGACCTTCAAGCATCAATCTTCTTAGTTGGCTTTGCAGGCATTAGTGCTACTCATATACACAGGACATAATAGCACTAAAACACATCCGCCAATGAGATGCGCTTAAGTACAACACAGTCGCACTTAACAGACACAGTCGCACCACTTAATATATAACCCTGTCAAGTGCTTTGAGACATCTCGATGACTTAATAAGGCAGTATATCAAATGCAAGGATTATTTTTATTATTGGAGGAGTGTAACCTGCACCCCCATTATGTGGAGTCCTGTAGCTCAGTGGCTAGAGCAATCGCCTCGCAAGTGAGAGACCTGGGTTAAATTCCTGGCAGGGTGAAACCTTGGGCACGTTCCCTTACTGCACACGCCTGATAATAATCCCTCAAGAAAAAAACATTAAAAAAAATAATAATTTGGTCACTCAATCCACGACTGTTTATGGGACTGCTGTGCGCAATTGGCTGCCGCGTTTCGCCCACAAATATACAGTCAATTCACTTTACAGTATATTCTGTGAAGCGCTTTGAGACATCTCGAAGATGTGAAAAGCGCTATATCAAATGCAAGGGTTATTATTTATCATTAGCATGATCCACCAACATTATGTAATGGTGACTAAAATCAGAATATTAAGGAATATTTGCTATCGTCATTTAAAAACATTTAAAAATAGTTAAATTTTTTATTCTTAAACTTTTCACGTTTTTCTTTTTTGAAAACTAAATATACCATATCTACTTCATGAATATAGTGGTTTAAAAAAAATCGTTAATGCAGAGGCTACGTTAAAGTAGGTGACCTGAAGTAAAAGCTGCAATAAAAATTGATCTCATTTTTTATAAATAATGTCTAGGTGGATTCATAAATTAATTGTCATCCTATTGGAATAAAAACCTCTTCTATGTACATGATTGATCTGATTTATCTCAGCTATTTTTCTAGATATTCTCCTTATTTAGTCTCACAGCTGGAGTTATAATTTAGTCATCATATTATCTGATTAAAACTAGCTTTTTTTTATTTTTCAACAGTCGGCTATATCTGAGTGGAACTGGGATTGGTCACAATTGCTACACAGTAATCTGGGACTGAGTCAGTTGACCTTCAGGGCTCTTCTAGCAAACAGGTAATAGCTTCTTTTCAGATCTGACTATAATGTTTGGTTTGTACCTAGTTTTATTGTATATTCTCATCTGACATTTCTCCAAAGAAATAAATGCTTGTGTGATTTGTGCAGCAAAACTACTATATAAATCCAACCATAGAAACATGACTTGGCACTTAATGTGTGCAAAAAAAATCATTTTTTTATCAGTATCATTTTGTAAACGAATGAATGCTTTAAAGTAGGAGTCAAAGGTACTGCAGATATTTGTAGTTGAAAAAAAGGTTTGCTTTTAGAAAAGCATTTACATTACATTTGCATCTTTGTTTTACATGAATAAAACACAGAAATATGATAATTGTTCTTTTCCTCCATAAATTACTGTAAGTGGATGCTTTGACCACTTTAATTCTTCACCTGTTCAGTTTGATTACACTTTTTTACCTACATTGTAAACATTGTTCATTGTTGAGAAAGAGACAGTCCTAAATTATGGACTGAATATTACTCATGCAATTTTTTTTAAAATTCCACCTGGTTAATGGAGAAATGGTGGTCCCAAGAAAGTCTTAGTTTTGCATGAGTTAGAACAACTTCTCTATATTTCAGAAACGTATCATTTTTCCAATAGCTACAACGTATTTATACAGCTCTTTGCAACTCCATAAACTAAATGTACTTTCCTACTGGGGAGCTCAAGAGAATCTCAGTGAAATGTATTTGTGCCAGAAATACTATCATACAGAAACCAAAAATATTAATAAGGACAACTTTGTGTCAAAAAAACAGTGTATTAAAACCAAACTATGTAATATGCCTGTAATCATTGCTTCATGTATTGTATTTTCACTTCCTGGCTCCCAACAATGCCTTTCCTCAGTGTGTGCTATCTGGTCTGACTCACAATGTGTCCCATATGTGTGAGAAGGAAAGGAAGGAAACAGAGGGGAACTCTTGATGGTGTATCTCCAGGGTAAAGGGGAAGGAGGCAGAGTTTAAGGGCCTCGTACTTCACTAACACCAGGAACAGAGGGCAGCTGCACTTTGAGACTCCCCCCTGTGAAGATGTGCATCGCAGTGTTGTCACAATCACACTTTCCTTCTCACCTGTCCTATGCTTGTTGCTCCACCACATGTTGCTTTATTAGCTTCCTTAACTTCTCAGGTGCCTTGTCTTAAGTGTTGCTGCATATTTGCAATGTTTGTTGAAAAGTAGAAATGTCATGTAGTGGTCAAAGGGTTTGGAGGGAGGCTTTATTCCCTTCGCCTCTCTCCATCTCCACTCCTCTATTGATGTTGCAAACTATATTTGCATAATAATCCTCTTCCTCCTGAAGATTAAGCTTTGCAAAATAGGTCTCCCCTCCATGAAGCTGATCCATCTCCAGGGTGCTCAGCAACAGTTGAGTGTAGGCTGGAATCCCTCTTCCCACAGCCATCTCCTCATTTTACTACAAATCCCTGTGAGGCACTTTGAGACTTTTTGATGTTGTAGGCGCAATATCAAGGATTATTATTATTATAAGAAAGTTCAGCATGAGGTTGAAGGTCAAAGATGCAGACTGAGTTCTTGCTTAAGGGGCTATGCTTTAACCAGACCCCTCTGACTAACTGTGAGAAATGTGTTCCAGAAGATAACTACAATATGGGAATCTTAGCGCTTGATTGATTCAAATGGAGAGATTTGACAGAGTGCATAACTATTTGCTGCATTTTGCAGGAATACATCCTATCTTGAATACAGGTAGTAAAATTAATCATCCAGAATGGAATAATCTCATCCAGATGGAAGCAAAGCACATGGAGAGCTTAACCTTCTTAGAGAAGCTAACAGTCTGACCTAAAGCTCTTTAAAGGATGACAAGCCTTTTTCCAAAGGCCTAGTAAGTAAAGTTACCAATGTTTGTGCTGAAACTAGCTGGTGTTAGCTGGTGCAATCGTTGGGGGTACTACAAATGATTGAGAGTGGGGTGAATACAACTAGAGTTCCTGTTCCAGATTACTATTGATAACCCTTGCTAAAAAGTAACCTTGTGTGAACAAAGTGAGATCAGGGTTAGGCTTTATTGTGATGCTATCAACCTGACAAATTAGTCTACTAATAACCGTGTAACACATGTAGAATGGGCACTTAAAGCTATAGTAGGATTACCAGCATCTGGAGTCCTCAGGAATAGGAGGTAAATGAGGGAGAAATATTAAAAAAAGTCCCCCTCAGATTGGGTTTTTCACATTGAGTCTAGTATTTAACAGCTGTATTCTTGGTCCAATCACGTTTTATTGATTTGAGCAGTTCTATTACTGGACTGTGTAGGAAAGTCACATACCTTCTTGAAATTCTAATGTATTCTTGTTCCATAAGGCAAGTTTCCTTACTCCACACGCCTAATAATAATCCCTCCAAAACAAAACAATAATAAATTGGTCATTTTCAATCCATAATTGTTTGTGGGACACTGCTGTGAGCAATTGGCTGCTGCGTTTCGCCCACAAATATACGGTCAATTCACTTTACGGTATATTCTGTGAAGCGCTTTGAGATGTCTAGAAACGTAAAAAGCGCTATATCAAATGCAAGGATTATTATTATTCTGCCACTCCTGTGAGCACTTTTTGATAAGAACTCTGGAAAAATTAGAAGTTTTCTCAGCTAGCTTTTCATTTAGTGGCAGTGCACCTATGCTTTCTGCTCACAAATTCAGAATCTACTGAATCTTAAAAAGCGTAAGGATAGATGGAAATAACCATTTCCTGAAATTGCATTGAGAACAATTCAGTTTTGTTCTACTTTTTATTTTTATTGAACGTTCTCTTAAGAGGTAACATTTTACTTTGGCAAAAGGTCATTTCAGAATGGAGCTTCCATTAATATAAGAAGTGTTATATTTGGATGTTATCACTGCTATATTCCCTGGTCACTGACCGATCAATAGCCTGATTTTAGAAATGCACCTGTTTTTTCTCCCTAAGCTCAATCATGATCCCCTGATGAATGACAGTTTTGTGGAGGATATATAACAGGCTACAGACATGGCAGATCAACTGAAGAACTCTATTGTGCAACCCTAAACTGTCTCAGATACCTCAAGTGTATTTTAACATCTCAGATGTTCTCTTAATTACAAAGGCAGCATATCAATGTATCTCATTGTACTTTTCCCCAAGAGGGCATGTTGAATTCAGAATGGGAGTCATCAACTATGGTTTCAGGGCATAATCACAATCTCTCACCAATCATGCTTACAGAGGAAAACATCCAGTGAGAATTTGTTATAGCAGGATATATAAAGAGATCTACAGTAATCATGTTTGGTACCACATCCTAACTGAATTTTCATAGAATTAAACCCTTGCGGATTTTGAAAAACTATTATACCTGTTGAAGGGAAATGCAGTTCCACATGTGTGTAATCAATGAGATCAAGACCCCTGGGGTTCCCAGGTATACATAATAAGTGGCATTGCTTTGCCATACTCTTGGTGACCTGAGTTGCATGAAATGTAACATAGCAACTAACAGACATGATCAGGGTATTATCCACTTGATTAATAAATCTATATATAACAAATTAGTTTATGACTGCAAATTCCTGGAGATTGAGAAACACCAATAATGTCTACTTTAATACCATAGGCATGGCTGACTATAATTACTTACTGACTATAATTTTGCATTGTTTGGCAAGTCGGCATATATTTAAAATATAAATTATTGTGTCTAAATTTATAATGATGCATGTATGCAACAATAAAATTCACTCAGCTCTGCAAGCCTCTTTTCACGTCTTCTAGATGTCTCAAAGCGCTTCACAGAATATACTGTAAAGTGAATCGACTATATTTGTGGGCAAACGTGGCAGCCAATTGTGCACAGCAGTGTCCCTCAAACAGTCGTGGATTGAGTGACCAAATTATTATTTATTTATTTATTTTGAAGGGATTTTTATCCCCGGAAAAGCGATCCGCCAATCGACCGGGTTCCTACTTACTGCTAAATAAATAGAGGCATGTGGAGTAAGGAAACTTGCTTAAGGTTTCGTCCTACTTGGGAATTGAAACTGGGTGCTCCCGCTTGCAAAACGAGTGCTCTAACCAATACACTACAGGACTCCAATTAACGTATTTCATATGTGTCGTATGTTCGCTGATGTCATCCCATATACAATTCAATGACAAAACAATGGACACGAACAAACTTTGCATGTGCAAAGACCCCTTGTGAAGTATATAATGATCCGGGTGTGGTAACTAATTAACTTTAGCAGAGGCACTCCTGTTTATTAGGATATTTTGCTCGCATTCTTTTCTCCTCCTTTTATTTTGCCCAAGGACAGGTTTATTATAGGCTCCAGCAGAGTTCTGCCTTGCATCACTCATGTCATGTATGATGCCCAGAGTGGCTTTCTTCCTAACCTATGGGCAAGTATGTTGGTTTTGCTTTGTACATCTCCTATTGTAGATATGGGATTAGCATCAGGTAGCCTTTATTGGCACAGTTAATGAGATAGGTCTTTTTGAAAAACAGAGAAGGGATGAGGTCATGCAATTTTGGAAGAAGTGAGCAACCAGGAAGATTGATATATGTAATGCCTAAGGTGAAGCTGGTGGGAACCAAGCAGGATAGACTTAACTATTTTGCCTTTTGTTTAGTCTTAATTTTGTAGATTTAGAGACATTTAACAACAACAACAAGATTCCATTTATAAAAGCGCCTTTCACGTCAGGAGGACGTCCCAAGGCGTTGCACAGTTGGGTCAGGACCCAAGCAGGGGGAAATGGTCAGGGTGAGGGTAGGGAAGGGAGGGAGTGAGGAGGGGGGAAATGGTCAGGGTGAGGGGAGGGAGCGAGGAGGGGGAAGAGAGTCGAGAGGGGAGCTGAAGGCTCGGTCAAAGAGAAAGGTTTTGAGACCGGCCTTGAAGGAGGAGAGGGAGGAGGCGGCGAAGGCACTGGGGGATAGAGTTCCAGAGCCTGGGGGCTGAGAGGCTGAAGGCCCGACCACCGATGGTAGGGCGATTGGGGCG